GTGTCCTGTTACTGTTTCCAAAAAGTTACGCATTGGCCAATCACCTAAACCATCCTTTGCTACTTAAATGATTTAGTATTTTTTATTGAAGTCAAAATGCTACTTTGTTGACATTTTGCTACATTTATTACAAATAATTTCACATTTAGCACTAATATCTTTAAGGATAAATATCTTACATGCACTAAAACTTAACGTTATAAAACTAATATTTGCCCTTTCTAAAGAATGAAAAATTTAATAATTTCTAAGGAATAATGTGCCTTTAAAAAAATCTAAAATTATTTCTGTCTTTCTGTTCTTAAATCACCGTTTATCAACATTGCACAAAGATATAGCACAATTTAACACGTAGAATTTATCCAATAAAAACTGCACCGATTTAAAACCACTGCACTTTATTAATTCATAAAAATGTTAACGTCATTATAATAAACTTAACCGCAATTGTAATAAATTAATATAAATTGGCAAAGAAATACCAACAATACATATAATTAACTCCTAATTTTACATATGTATGCAAGACTTGTCAATTGATATTGTCTATCAAATTGTGTTCTTAACTCTAAGATATAGATAGTTAATCATTTATTGTTTCAGGAGTGGTTTCATATTTTTTCTGTTCTTTTTTGTTCTCGTAAATCTAAGCTTCATCAACATTCGATTTTTGCGTGTAACAGAAAAGATGGCCTAGTCACATTGTATGTTAAAAAGCATATATTTGAACAAAGATCTAGCAAAGGATCATTTGGTCAATGTTAAATCACTATTATGTATACCTAGACATCTGTATCATTTATGTCCATCACACCAAACTTGTAATGCTTTTTGGTCAATCGGAACTCCTCGGCTGTTATTTATGATTCGGAAAGGGCCGAGAAGTTGCAATTGGCTTTTTGGTTTTTGATCACTTATACGGCCCAGTATAAACGGGCCTCATTTTATATAACCCCGGTTCGTTAAACGATCGTTATGTTGAAGAAAATCTGCTTCAACCTCAGCCTGCGGATGGAAATAGGTTCTACCCATGCGTCAGTGCAGACATAGATCAGCCGGTACCATGGTCTGCACTGTTCGCTATTCAGCCAGTGCTTCTTTTGAAATTTGACCTAAAATGATGAATGGTTTTGTCCAGTTTGAAATGCATGGACAGGTTCATTTAAGATATTTAGCGTAATAACGGTTTAATTCACTAGCTGACCTCAGTAAAGCTTGAAAGTCGCCATATGACCTATACTGTGTTGTTGCGACGTAAAGCCCAACCATCCAACTAAAACGAAATGCACTGCCACGCATCTTGTTTAACTAATCTTTGATACTGCAACATTGCTTTCTTTGATTAAAATCAGAAATGATATGAATGACTATATATAAATTTGCTACAGCCGTGTATATAGAAAATAAAGACATCACAACGGACCAATGAAAATCTACGTTACAAAACGTGCAGTACCTTTACGTTATCATGACTGTGAAATTTGGGGCATAGAACATTAACCCTAACAATTCATCTTCATTCCATCAAAGTATAAAACATTACCATTTTTACATCAGTCATTTTACGTAGTCATTATGATTTTATTCATAAAATTATAGCGTAACGAACATCTTCATTTTTCTATGAAAACTATACAGTGTTTAAAATCGTTAACGTTCGGGATTTTCCGGTTTCACTTGAAAGATTTCGTGAGTATGTCAAACTTAGGTGTCGAGATTTGACGAACGAGATATGTCATTATTTAGTATTTGACACAAATTTGTCATTCAAGTAAGAAATTAAAAATTGTATACATGTATAAGTATTGTACATGTAGTGTTTTAACTACGTAAGATATTGTTACTGAAACAATGATGAATTTGTTTTAAGTTCTCACCGAACAGAATACATTATGATTGAGGGATGAAGTTTATATAACTAAATAAGCTTTCTGAATTGTAACACTGTCATTGAAATATATGTATATGAACTGTAATGTGGAAAGTGAAATATATATTTTAAACCAGATCAGGGACATATTGAGATACAAATGTACATGTAGCACTCAACTGAATTTTATCCCATTCACCCTTTGTACAAAAATCACGGCTACATTATGTCTCAGAAACGAATAAAAGGTTTCATTCTTTAGAAAGGAAAGACATGAGTGTTGTAATGTTTAAATAATGGTTTTAGAGCATGTTAAATGCTTATTACTTGAAGCAAGAAGTGCTGGATGCTAAAGTCTTTGTCATAGAAGTAGCAAAATCTGAACAAAGTGGTATTTTGACATCTATACAAAATGCTTAATCACTATAATTGTCATAATTGCCAAAACGCACCAGAATCCAAAGACAATTTAGATGATTGGCCAATGAGTAACACTTTAGAAACTATTATGACACATAAGAAATAAAAAGATTTTGGGAAATAAAAAAAATGCATACTGGGACATAATGGGCCTTTAATCTACAGATAGATCTATATTGGATTGTTAAAAGAGTTATGCATAACTTAGTGATCAGATAGTTTTTTAACAGGCGGCGTTCGTATTGTGTTTCTTTTACGTCTTTTGAGGCTGTTGTTTCATAGTTTGTATTTTCTTAATAATTAAGAGTCTAGCTTGTGTTTAACTCGAGGTCTGCTTTTGTAAAAAATATAAAAAAAATGATAAATGAATAACTGCAAAATCGGTGTTGGCACTTTTTCTGAACCCAGAAAGATTAATTCACTAACGCTTACCACAAGCACATGACTCAACATGAAATGATACATTGTTCCCCATGTTCCAAAATTTTTATCTAAAATCATTTCAATAAAAGCCTTGTAAGTTATCCTTATCATTTTATGCTATCAATAAGTCTACATTTAGTTGGCGTTACGTTAAGTTGATATAACCTTTCATATGGAAATGGAAAATTACATGGGAGAAGTTTGGAACAGCTCCTTCGTTGTATTGCGGCTGAGTTTGTATGGGTGATTTGAACATATTTATTGCCCCCCCCCCCCCCTTTAAAAAGGAAATATATACATACATGTATATAAAGACAGTTACAATTCAATGGTAAACGTATATGGCAAAATGATTGACCCATTTACCCACAAGTTCTCGCCACATGAACAGCGGGTCTTCCCTTAAGTTTGTACGATGTGGGGGTGGGGGGTGGGGAGGGGTGTTGGTAGGGGAATGGCATTGGGTAAAAGTGCGTTCGTTGGTGATGGCGGTCGGATGTGTTACAAATGCTAATTCCTGTTTGCAAACAATTAATTCTATTACCGGACACGTTAAAACATATAAGAAACTGTCTAAGTTGTTTGAATTATGATCATCAATTCTTGTAACTACTTTCCAGTGAACTATACAAAAAATTGCTTAAATAATCTTAAATAGACTTGTCACAAAACCACAAAACTTTACGCAAGTAATAAAATTACCTATTTAAAGCACAATATAGTTTTAAAGCCCTAATCAATTATATAATCAATATAAATAGTCGTTTTTTAAATGGTGTATAGCTAAATTTCATGACAAAACAACAGTAAACTTTCACCATAATAATTAATCATATTTCATTAACACACCGTTATATAGTTTATCAGCAAAAAACAACAAAAACCAACAACAAAAAGCAACAACAAAAAGCAACAACAACAGCCGTATGTAATGTTACGATATGGCGTGCTGTTATTCAAAATATGTTGGTGTAAATATTTGTCATAAATAACAACAATCGATCAATGTAAACAATATGTATAAAGCGTCTTGATAAGAAAGAGATAAAAAAAATATAACTTCTATAGATCATCAACCTCTTTTGTTGCCTCTATAAAGCAACTACATCTTTTGTAACAACAATGATAATGCATCGTTTTGTTGATCTACGCGAAATACAGTTGTTTTTCTCTAAATCTAATTCAATACAGAAAACCTATGCAATCACCATTGGGGAGAGATACAAAAGAGTTTGGTTGTTGTTTTAGAGTGGTTCCTCTAGAGAGGTTAAATATCTTGTATTGTCTTACTTCGGGGACGATTCGAAACTTTAAGTAAAGTACATTTTGTATGGTGCATGGTTTTTCAAATGAGCACATGCTAATTTTCAGAGTGTTGTGTTACGTTAACCGAGTATTCTTAGAACATATTCTCAACTTTAATCCGAGCCTGCAACAGTTTCAATTTTGTCATTCTGGGCGTTCTTTAGGGATTCTTATTCTCACTTTTTAGATTACAAACGATTTTATTTTATTAACAATAGAAATTACACCATTGTGCCTCAAATAAACAAACTTGTTTTATATTGTATGAAGTTAAAGGAAAGTTTTTTTAATCATTTTCTGTTAGTGAGGAAAGCAATAGGTTTATTTTATTATAATATTTATTCCAATCCATGACTTCAGTCCAAGAAACAGCATTTATAAAGACTGCGTATGAATACATTTAATGCTGGAACTTGTTTTAAAATCGAGCTAAAATAAATACGAATTTAAATAAATATATAAAGCAAATTGTATATTTTTAAAATTATTAACAATACAAATAATACGAAGCAAGCACAATATATATCACTATGAATCCTCATATTTTCTAAAATCTTCTGACGTACTTGATTTTTACTTACAGTCATGTATTTACAATATGACAAATTAGAATCTCTTTATATGTAAAATTTGTAAAGAAAATAAATCATTATGTAATTTTAAAGAACATTATCTAAATTAGAATGTAAAAATATAATATGAAAGTATAAAGAATAGGGCAAATATAATTTTTATAACGAACTGTGGATTATTTGTAGCTAAATCAGACAGTCAAAATCAATGTCTTAGATTCGGATTCTTAAACATATAAAACATAAAGAAACATTAATATCTGTATGCATTTTGATTGATATATACTTAAAAAAATAATTTGGAAAAATAATGGATCCGCTCGTTTACAAAATAGCATATCATTAATACATAAGACTGTTTGGCAGGCATTTGTAAAAAGAAAATCATTATAAACTTTAAAGATACATACCAGTGGAACATGTCTAGCTGTTACTTGTGTTAGAATTAAAATCCAAAGAAAACTAATTTTTCCGTATCCAAACATTTTTTCTTTCAAACTGTTTTTAACGTTCCCTTAAGTCTTTAATAGAAGAAGAAAATAACCTAGCGCACGCTAAAACACTGCTCGTCCGTTGCACGCGCTACCTGACGTCTGAAGCGTTCTATAGCGTTACAAGTTTATCTTCTGCGGCGTTAAAGCGTTCACGCGAGGTGAGAAATACTAATACATGCGCGTTAACGGATCCCCGTTATGATGTCGTTACGTTACGTTAATTACAAGGTATAACAGTTCATAGAGAATAATGGTTAAGAGAAGAGAAGGCATTCTTTTTTAAAAGAGCACGTAAAGGCACGGCTCTCTTTGTATTTCGAACAGAAAGAAAACACGACGTTCTCGTATTTCGAGAATAAAGAAAACATCTTGATGCGCTTATGGAACGGAAACCAAATTATTTTTATCTTCGAACTAAGCATTGTCATTTTAAATCCGGGACAAGTCTAAGAAAACTTATTTAAACAAGAAGGCCATATGACCCCTTACCGCTCGGCAAATTTGATAGCAGAAGATGTTCAAAGTTTTCTTTTTATACAGTTCGTGAAAATAGACGGACGACGGGCATTTAATTTCAATCAGATAAGGCTTATAAGCACATAACTACATAATAACAAAATATTTACAAGATAACGAGCATTGAGCATACCATCTTTTATCAAAATAACATTATAATCATAATAACATTGTTATCATAAAAACAATATGATAATATAGGGAAAGATCATAATAACATTGATATTATAATAACATTGTGATACTACAGGAAAAAGTCATAATAACATTGTTAACATAATAACATTGTGATAATATAGGGAAATTTTATAATAACATTGTTCACATAATAACATTATGATAATATAGGGAAATTTCATAATAACGTTATTATCATGATAACATTGTTATCATAACAAAACATGGTTATCATAATAGCATTTTGATTGTATAGGGAAAGTTCGTAATAACAAGTTATTCATTAAAATTTGAAACAGACATACTTCTAGCGAGTAACCGCTTTGTTGGACCGTATTTGGTACAAAAACGAATATGGTACAAATGTACCATATTCGGTCGAATATGGTACAAATGTACCATATTCGGACCGAATATGGTACAATTTTCGACCGAATATGGTACAAACATTGTACCATATTCGGTTGGAATAAGTTTTTCTATGCTCGCCAAAACGTATTTGGTGCATACCAAAAAAAACTCATAAAATGAAAATGGCCTACGTATATGGTATATAAATTATGTATTTCTTAATAAATGAAATAGTCTGCCGACGTGTAAACTTTTTTTCAAACTCAAATACATTGTATTAACCTAATATTGGAAGTGACAAAAGTATCATCATCATCATCATCATCATCATCATCATCATCGTCGTCGTCGTCGTCGTCGTCGTCGTCGTCGTCGTAACTAGCAGTAACAGAAACAGCTAACCTAACCACACTTTACATGGATTTTGCTGGTTGTGTAACTGTTTCGCCGGCTACCTCAGTCGGTTGCGCGTCAGATTGGCACGCAGGCGGCCTGGGTTCGATTCCCGGGCGGGCCAGATACTTTCGTGGAGATTGGTCACGAAATGATTTCTACGGCCATTCTTCCCCTACCGCTGTTTCAAGTAGGGCAGTTGTCAATTACTGGCGAATGTATCTGCTTAGTACTGGTTACTAAGTACTAGTACTCTAAGACTAGAGACGTGCTTGCTCCAGGTAACTCTGTAAAAGTTTGAGGATTATCGCATTTTGGTTATGTTCATAGTGTGTGAACTTGTAAGGGTAAAGGTAGGCGAGCAAATCCATGAAGCGCGCTGTAACACCGCAAAACGTCCGTACCGCAAAACGTACGTATACGGACCTTTTGCGGCGCATATCGTCCACATTTTTCTGACGTACATTTTGCGGCAAAAAGGCATGGCCCTGCCGCATAACGTCCATATTTTAAAGTTTATATAATTTTCATTAATTTTGACCAGTTATTATCAGGTGTTAGTGTGTGTTAATTTTACCTGAGTATGCGCCTGTCTGTCCGTCCAAATTTAGCTTGTTACCACTCTAGCATCCACATACCTTAAGCAATATGGCCAGAGTTATTTGCCCTTGAATTACAATATCTGTTATATTTCACATTGTTACCACTCCAACGCTTTCATTTCTTCTTCAATCTTGACGATTTTTAACAGAATATCTATGACCATAAAATCTCAACAAAGTTAGATTATAGGTTAAATCTAACAAAAAAAAAAAAAAAAAAAAAAAAAAAAAAAAAGCCTTGTTAGTGCTTTCGTTTCTTCTCCATTCTTGATTTTTTTTAAACAGATTATGTATAACAATAAGGTCTCCGATCAAGTTCATTTATGAGCTAAGAGGATTCCCATCCCCACCCCCGTCCCCCGCGACAAAAACTCTCTTGCTCAATTATGACTAGGCATAATTATATAGGATCACAAAAATATTGCACTTTAATGTTTATTTCGTCATATCTTTACCTGAAACAATATGAAAGTGACAGAACCAATAAAAGTCACGTTTATAATGAATATATTTTAATACAGAAAATATGGACGATATGCGATGCAAAGACACACTCCCGCCGCAAAACGTACCAAGTACGATATGCACCGCAAAACGTCCACATGTGTACGATATGCGACGCAAAACGTCCACACGCGTACGTTTTGCGGTACGGACGTTTTGCGGTGTTACAGCGCGCCAGCGCTTCTTGGAAAATTTGATCGTTTAATACCCCTCGGTATTAATGCTTATATTTTAATACATTTTAATAATAATTGGTAGGTTTTGTCCAGATATGATTGCTTTAAGCAAACGTCGTTGCAGGAATGTCGACGTCGCATTCGATTGGTCGAATGACGTCGCGTCAGCCATATTAATGATTTCGTGCATTGTTTGGGTCAATCTAAAACTTCTGACAAGAAGATATTGCATGAGAAAATCCGAAAAATAAACAAGAAATTGGGCCGAAAAAATAACTAACGAAATTCATATTTCATGCATTTGCAGTTGTTTTACGATAGAATTTCTTCGATATAATTCAATATCCTTTGGTCAGTAGTTTTAGATTGACCCAAACAATTCACAAGATCATTAATAGCAATTTTCAAATTTTTAAAACTTTTTTTTTCGAAAGTGTATTTTCACCAAAATCCGATTTAAGAGATTTTGAGCTCTTTTAAATGAATATATCTCTCCAAAAATAAGGATGTTTGACTGACCGATGATGATCATTGGGGTGTTGATAATTGATGTGATGATGATGATGATGATGATGATGATGATGATGATAACAAACGTATTTTGATGATTATGACAGCGATGTTTATCGGTCGATGACGATTATTATAATGATGATGATTATGATGACAAATGTGTTTTGATGATGCTGACGGCGATTTTTATCGGTAGATTATGATGATGATGATGTGCTGACCGTCGTTATCATCATTACAAAACTTTTGTCATCATCATCACCATCGACCGAAAAACATCGCAGTTATCATCATCACATTTTTGTGATCTTCATTACGATGATGATAATGGTGATGATGATGATGGTGTTGATGATGATGATGACCTTGATGATTGTGGTGATAATGATGGTGATGATGATGACAATGATGATAAAAGTTTGTGATGATGATGATGACGGTAATTTTGATCGTCGTCATCATCATCAAAACTTTTGTCATCATCATGACGATGATGATGATAATGGCGTTAATGGTGACGATGATGATGATGGTGTTAATGGTGACGATGATGATGTAATTGATGATGATGACAATGGTGATGATGATTGGGGTTTGATGACTGTGATGATGATAACTGCGTTGTTTATCGGCCGATGATAATGATTATAATGATGATGATGAAAAAAGTTTTTTATTATGTTGACGCCAATGATTACCGGCCGCCGATGATGATGATTATGATGATGATGATGATGTTGATGATGATGATGATGATGATGACGATGATGATTATTTTCATGATGGTATTGATGACGTTGATGCAAATTGTAGTTATGATGATGATGACGATGATGATGATGACGATGACGATGACGATGATGACGATGACGATGATGATGGTGATGATGATGATGATGATGAGATGACGATGATGATTATTTTCATGATGGTATTGATGACGTTGATGCAAATTGTAGTTATGATGATGATGATGGCGATGTGATGATGATGATGTGATGATGATGATGTGATGATGATGATAATGATGATGATGGTGATGATGATGAGATAACGATGATGATGATGATGATGATGACGATGATGAGTGTGTACCATATTCGGAACGAATGTGGTACATTTTTCATCCGAATATGGTACAAGTTTGTACCATATTTGGTCAGGCATTTTACCCCAAAACTGCAGATACGTATATGGTACAATTAGACAGTTGTACCATATTCGGCCGAATATGGTACAAATTTGTACCATATTCGTTTTTCTACCAAATACGGTCCGACAGCGCGCTTCATGGATTTGCTCGCCTACCTTTACCCTTACAAGTTCACACACTATGAACATAACCAAAATGCGATAATCCTCAAACTTTTACAGAGTTACCTGGAGCAAGCACGTCTCTAGTCTTAGAGTACTAGTACTTAGTAACCAGTACTAAGCAGATACATTCGCCAGTAATTGACAACTGCCCTACTTGAAACAGCGGTAGGGGAAGAATGGCCGTAGAAATCATTTCGTGACCAATCTCCACGAAAGTATCTGGCCCGCCCGGGAATCGAACCCAGGCCGCCTGCGTGCCAATCTGACGCGCAACCGACTGAGCTAGCCGGCGAAACAGTTACACAACCAGCAAAATCCATGTAAAGTGTGGTTAGGTTAGCTGTTTCTGTTACTGCTAGTTACGACGACGACGACGACGACGATGATGATGATGATACTTTTGTCACTTCCAATTTTAGGTTAATACAATGTATTTGAGTTTGAAAAAAAGTTTACACATCGGCAGACTATTTCATTTATTAAGAAATACATAATTTATGTACCATATACGTAGGCCATTTTCATTTTATGAGTTTTTTTGGTATGTACCAAATACGTTTTGGCGAGCATAGAAAAACTTATTCCAA